GAATATTTGCGAAAAATCGCGTACTCTGATGTATATCAGTCAGCGGGGTGTTACAGGATTGCCTTACTTATCTGGAGTTCTTCTTTCCAGTCACAGCATCAGAGGCTTATGGCTGAGCTCACCCACAAGCTGGAGACTATCAATGCAGATAAAACTGAAGATAATTGGGATGAATGGATCAAAACTCGAAGAGAGCTTAATAAGGTGCATTCTCAAGAAGAAGTTTATTGGCAGCAAAAGGCTAAACACAAGTGGCTGAGAGAGGGAGATGCAAATACTCGTTTTTTTCATGCATATACTCTTCAAAGGAGAAAGCTTAATGCAATAACAAGACTTGTCTCTGCTCAGGGTAATATGTTTACATCTCATGAGGACATTGCAAAGCACATCTCAGACTTCTACAAATCCCTCTTCACCTCAGAAGGCAGCTGGGGGGGGGGAGATTCTATTCTCCCTCACATTTCTCCTTGCATTACTGAGGATATGAATCAATCCTTGCTCAAACAAGTGGAAGAGGAGGAAGTCAAAGGTGCTCTTTTCAGCCTTCCACCAGATAATTCTCCTGGTGAAGATGGTATGACTGCCAGATTCTACCAACATTTCTGGGATCTGATCAAACCAGACCTAATGAGTGCTGTGACTAGTTTCTTTCATTCAGGTATGATTCTCAAGTATTGGAACCATACAGTGGTATCTCTTATTCCCAAATGTGATAATCCTGATACTTTGAATCACTACAGACCAATTAGCCTCTGTTGTGTTGTTTATAAAATTATATCCAAAGTGATTGCTCTAAGGCTGAAAGGTTGTCTCAGTTCCTGCATTAGTGATTATCAGGCAGCATTCATAGAGGGCAGACAATTAACTGATAATGTGATCATAGCTCAGGAGGCTTTCCATTTCTTAAACAGGCATTCATCTGGCCCTAACTTCTTTATGGCTTTGAAATTAGATTTGGTGAAAGCATTTGATCGTGTTGAATGGATTTGTTTGAAAAAAATCATGCTCCAAATGGGTTTTCATTCTGATTTTGTCAAGCTCATTATGGTCTGCATCTCTACTGCCTCATTTTCATTCAAAGTTAATGGATCAACTTGTGGCTTTGTTTCTCCAACTCGAGGTATCAGACAGTGGGACCCCTTGTCCCCCTATTTATTTATCATTGTAGCAGAATTGCTCACTGCTCTCATCTTAAACTCCATTGACAATGGCATGCTGAAAGGGATGAAGTTGTCTAGAAATGGTCCATTGCTTTCACACCTCTTATTTACAGACGACTCTCTATTCTTCTGTATAGCTGGTATTGATCAAGCAGGCATTCTCATGAACATATTAGAGCAATACAGGTTGTTTACAGGTCAAACTGTCAATCTTCAAAAATCTGCTATATTTTTCAGCAAGAATACCCCTCAGAATATTCAGACTGCCATTTGTGGAGCAATGAATGGAATTACATCTCACAGATCAACCAAATACCTTGGTCTTCCACTGGGGATTGGCAAGTCCAAGAAGGAAGTTTTTGAATATCTTCTGATCTCAGTAAGGAAAAAGCTTACCAGCTGGAAGACAAAGTTTCTTAGCACTGCAGGGAAGGAGGTTCTAGTTAAAGCTGTTATCCAAGCCCTTCCTATTTTCACCATGTCCTGTTTCTCCTTGCCTGTATCTATCTGTACTGAAATTGCTAAGCTATGTGCTTAGTTCTGGTGGCACTCTAATTCAGAGCAGGCAAGAGGAATCCACTGGAAGAAATGGAGCTTTCTTACTCTTCCCAAAGAAAATGATGGTCTAGGTTTTCTTGACTTGCAGCTTTTCAACAAGGCCATGATCTGCAAGCAACTGTGGAGGATAGCTGCCTACCCTGATCTTCTTGTGAGTAAACTACTTAAGGACAGGTACTTTCCCCACTCATCTATTGTGCATGCCTCTAAAATACAGGGTGGTTCCTGGATGTGGAACAGTTGGATGGACTTGATGCCCTTGTTTGCTAAATGGCTCATGATTGAAGTCAGAAATGGGGCTGGCACTAGAATAGCTGATTTTAACTGGGTTCCTAATTTGAATAAGCCAACTCCCAACCTTATTCCCATTGCAAGGGGCCATCTCATCTGGGTTAGAGAACTTCTGCATAGTGATGGTGTCCATTGGAATGAATGGCTTGTCCAACAGGTCTTCAATGCCTCTGACAGTCAAGCCATTTTAAAGATTTCTACCCTTCATCCCCATAGACCTGATAGAATTTACTGGGGGCTTGACCAGAAAGGGCAGTTTTCTGTTTCTGGGACCTATAAATTTCTTTGCAAAAACAAGGCCTTGATGGCTGACTTTCCTGAATGTAGCAATAACAAGGAGATCAAGATAGCTACTAAATTAAGGCTCTGGAATTTGAAAATAGTAACAAAGATTAAGCATTTCCTTTGGAAATGCATTATAGGTACTCTCCCTGTTGCAGTCCATCTGAAGAAAAGGGGAGTGGAGATTGATACTACTTGCTCTGTGTGTGGGGAAGTAGCAGAGACTGTTGAGCACATCCTCTTTAACTGCAGAAGAGCAGTCATTGTCTGGAAATTGAGCCCTTTGAACTGGGATGGCTTACAGTGCTGCACTGATTCTTTTAAGACTTGGTGGTATCACATTTGTTCCCTTGACAACTCTGAGGTTGCTGAAGCTCGAATCCAACTCACTACATATATGCTTTGGTGGCTTTGGAAGTCGAGGAATTTGTGGATTTTTCAAAAGTCCTTAGTCCCGGAGCATAAACTCCCTCAGATGGCTCATTCAGACTGGTTGGAATTTGTAGAAGCTCGTTCTCTTGTTTAAGTTGCTTTCCTCTTTTTTCTAGTTTTGTTTTTGGTTCAAGTTGAATCTCTTGCTAGGCTTTTAGCGGTGGCGGGGATTTAGCTCTTTTTTCTTCTTTATTTGATGCTTCATTTGTTGAGGTTCTAGACCGCTTTTTGCGTGTCTCTCAATTTGTTGTTTTCAGTTAGTAGACTATTGTATTCGAACTATGTTCGCTTTGAGCTTAATATAGTTTCCTATGTCGTTTTGGGAAAAAAAAAAAAGCTTCAAGAATCTTCTGTGTCCTTGCCGATTAAGCAAAATCGAGAAAACCAAAGGACAAATATCGAACACCCAAACCACAATCAGGAAACCGAGAAAGGAAAATCTTGGAAAGCCCGAGTGTTGCAAAAATGGCGTTGCAATGGGCGATACTCGCATACGTAGTGGCGACTGAGGCCGCCGTGGCTATTCTCTTGACGTTACCGTCGCCGAAGGCTTTGAAATCTCGAATCGTATCGCTTATCTCGCTCGTTCTCCAGCCTTCACTGTTTATCATACCATTCTCCACTTTTCAGCTTCTAGGTATGTCCATTTTTGTTCTCACTTTTTTGGTCGTTTTATTTTTGCTGTTGCTGGTTTTTTTTTT